TAATTTAATATAATTTTAATTTAATTGGCTTTTAAGTGTCCAAACGAAGTCTGTATTTTGTGTTACGATTTATACATTTATGGCTAAAGAAAAGCAAAAACGAAACAAATATTGAATTAATATATTTGAAAATTTAAAACAATATTTTTGTTCTACTAATTATAATATTTGTCCTTTAAATATACTTTATTAAAGTTTTCCCTACCTGAAACGTTAAACACCTATATTAGCTAATGCAGGGAACAGAAATGTGTAAATACCCAACGTAAAAGTGATGTGTCTTCTCTGTTTTACTTTCGTTTGGTGAGTGTTGTTCTCCTAGTTTTTTCCTCTAGCCTGCCAGGTAAACAGAGAAGTGGCAGCAACCCATACGCAAACAGGTGAATGTGTTGAGCCAGCGACTTAAAGTGCGTAAATGAGTAAAACACACACAGTCGCAGGCGGTGGGGAAATGGGAAGGTGAACGGCGGGAACAACAACATAGTGTGGCGCTTATTATGCGTATACTTAACATTTATTTCAGCCAGACAGACTGCCTTTGCGAGTGTTTTTAGTGTGTGTGCTTGTGTGCTTGTGTGTGTGTGTGGGACGCACACAGAGACAAAGTCACTGAGGCAGGAGCACAGATACGCGCACATACGCATTTAGGGGCAGAGCATAAATCTCATCGTGCATTCATCAATGTCAAGCCGCAAGTTTGCTTTTCATTTGTTATGGCTTTGCTGCTTGTTGGTATGTGTGTGAACACAGCACAGCTGTATGCGTGCGTATCTGTGTGTTGCTTGTATTGTTTAGCACATAAAATGCCAGAGCCTGCATTGAAATTTTTACGAGAGTGGTTCAATGGGTCTTGGAAAGAAAATAAAATAGCAATAGAAAATATTAAGATAATCTCAAGTTGTTAACTGAAGGAAAGTGATTGCCAAATGAAAATAAATAATAACACAATTTAATCCAATCTTCTTTCAAATGGCAGCACTTCAAGTAATTGCTTTGAGGCACTTAAGCCCAGTTTATTGGCTCTATAGATTTGGCAAAAAGATTGACTTAAGCACTTTGCTGCCTCTAATCAAGCACACCTCGCTCAGGGATTTGCGGCTGAGGACGCTCATTGTTTCGCCATCGTCATCGTCCTGGCCAATCGCATTTGGGCCAACTTATACTTATTCGCACATATAGTGCTGGAATTTGTTGGCCAACACGGGCTAACCGATGCCTTGAACCTCGGCTGGGAAACAGCTAAGGTGAACTGATTGTGTCGGACTAGTGCTCAAGCAATTGATTTGCATATGCTCCCACCCGAGATCCCGGGGCTTTGTGAGCCGGCGGAACACAAGAACAACAAGTGCATCTGAAATGGCTGCCTCTTAAAACTTCATGGCATTGGCAGTAAAAACGACAATTGCCGAGCGCAACTGTTCATAAACATTGAGTGCAGCTTGGCAACTACATACAACTACAGCATCAGCATCAGCAAACAATGACAAGGCCATCCAAGGGGCGGTGGGTGCGGTGGATGCTGCTCGGCCGTGGAATGGGAGGGGCTGGTTGCACAAGTCGATTTTATTTAATTGCGCACAGCCACAAAATGCACACCCCCTTGGAGTCCCCAGAAATCCAACGACCTCCCACCATCACCCCCAACCCCCGCACATTGTACACCCAATATTCTGGTTTTACGAGCGCCGGGCGCCAGATTCGAAGCAGCCCAGCTATCGTCTCCGTCGACATGAGCGCACACACATTAAGCAGCTCAGCAGCTCAGCAGCGGCATCTCCCGTCGGACCTACACTGCAAAATCGGCGTTGCAGGGATTAAACATATATATCTTGCAACGAAAACTGAGCTTAGCTGCAACATAAATCGTTTGACAGGCGCTTAAAAATGTTTCCTCAGCTCAAAGGAGCTTTACTATGGCACAACGCTACCACAGTTCTTTCAGGCTGCTTGCAAACCAACTGAGATCTAAATATGTACCTTTTAAATTGTTAAATTCAACTTACAAATACCATGTATTAATCTATTATAATTCCTTACAGTTATATTTTGTATAATAAATATATGAAACATAATAAATATTTGGTAGTCAGGAGTAATATGTGAAATCGTGGTACGATTTTAATTAAAACCGTAACTCTAAGATAAGATAAGAAGATTATTCAAAACAAGAAATTGAAAAAAAATAATATATTAAATTTTTTTGTATTTTAATTTTGTTCCGATTCGGCTTGATCCGACTTATATACCACATGGAACGACAACTTTTGGGTAAGTTTCATGCAGTTAGCTTTAAAACTGAGAGACTAGGTTGCGCAGAAGCAACGGAACGGACGGATAGACATGATGCTGATCAAGAAAATATATCCTTCTTAAGGTCAAAAATAACATAAGTAATACCCATAGCAAGGACATAAAAATATTAGCATTTCGAAAACTATTGGAAAAACAATGAAATATGTTTCATATTTTAAAATTTCAACCGAAATGTGAAATTAACTTTATTTGTTTAGTATTTTATTTAGAAATCTAGGTTTTACCAAGAAATAAATTTTAAAAATGGAAATTACTACAAGCTTTGCATCTTGAGATAAAATTTGAATAAATTTTTAGACCTGTTTAACTAAATAAAGGTTTTAAAAAAATGTTTAATTAAAAATTCAAATACCAGGGGTACAAAAGTTATATAAATTCTAACAATTTTTAAAAAGCTTTCATAAATAAACTCTGAAAAACTTGACCAATTTTTAATTGTGTACTTTTTATGACCAAAATGAGTTGACAATGGCTGGAATTGAGCCAAGACACGACAGCACTACAGGGCCTCAATTTTCGCTGGCTACGATTTGCAATCTCCGAACTGGAACTTGGCCAGTTTCCTAAAATGATTGTTGCGGCTGCCCTGCCCTACGGCTAGATGTGAGTACTAAAAGCCGACTTTAGGAATTCCACAGCCAGTGGCTTGAAGTTTGAAAGCAGTACCGCTTTTCAATTTCAATCGCATGCAAATGAGTTGGGTCGATGGCTGATTTGGCTGGCGGCATGTGATGGCCTCGCACCTCCGAGTCACCCGATTCAATTGAAACGTTTCGCAGCCAACAAGCTGCAAAACAGCCGGAAGCGCAACTCACTCGAGTCATTTCGGGGCAACCTACCCGACAAACAAAAAAAAAAAAAAACTGGCAGGAAAAACCTGAAGTCGAAGTCCTGGCCAAAAGTATAACAAGCAGGACAGCAAATCATTTGTAAACACTTGAGCACAAAGGGAGCGGAGAAGCCAAAACACAAATCAAAAGATAAACGGTCTGTCGGGGAGGCAAAGATGAAAAATTGAAATGGCCGGGCGGCAGAGGGTCCGAAATCCCCGGACTCGGAATCCCTGGACTCGGGACAGCATGTTGCGTAAATAAAGTGCGAATTTCCAAAAGCTGTGCAGACAAATGAGCGACCACTCAAGATGACAAGTGACCGTCCATGATCGAGGGCAGCGGGAAAAGCGGAAATGCGGAAAAGCGAGGAACAACGAGCAGCTGCCCCACGCAATCTGTTAGTGTCAAACATATGAGGGAAATGGAAGTGGAACGGTGCCTCGGGGCTATGCCAATGAAGCTCTGACGACGGGATCTTAGTAGAAAGAAACTTTGCAATATAAAAACCCAGCACCAGGCGAAGAAAACGAAATTCTCCAATAGCAAATTGAAAAAAATTCCTTCGAAGCAGAGCAAAAAGTTTGCCGGTTTTCGAGGGGCGAAACTTTGGGCTCTGCTTTAAATGTCGATAAAAGTTTCTTCGGACGCTATGGTAATAATATTTACCCCACACCAGTGAACCAAATCCCATCCAGAGTAACAAGTCCTGCGGGCTGATGCCACGCTTAATCTTTTGGACTGCTATTTTCAATAACGATTATTAGCCGCATCTAGCATCTAGTATACAAGAATTCTCCCCGGGGTCCGCCGCTTACTGTTTATTGAAATATTCAACATATTTAGCCCGGCCGGCGCAGAAAACTTAATTAAATATATTTAAAGCTGATTAATAACAAAATTAAAATCAAACATCAGACCGCTGAAGGCCGAAAATATCCTCATTAATATTAACAACTTAATTAAAGCCAGCGCCGCCCACATTTCCGCCCGGCGAGTTGTCCACCGCCTGGCCCGATTATATTTGCAATTATGCAAAGTAGCTGCTAGTTGGATACTACCGCTGTTTGTATGTTGTTGGCCGTGATGGCTGTCAATGCGTGCGCAAAGTTTAATATTAATAAATTTTTAATCAAAGCCCTCACCGGGGCGTCAACCTGTGTGAAGTGGTTGCGGTGGTGCTGGCGGCCCTTTGAGGTGTACTGGTGGTGTTGGTGGAGGTGATGGAGGTGATGGAGGTGGTGGAGGTGGCCAAGTGTCTGACAGACCGCCTGCGGTCCACCTGGACTTAAATGGAGGAGGAAGGCATGTCAGTCAGTGCAGTGGTCAAGCCAATTAAGGCGTCGGCCTTCACAGAAACTGAGAAATTAAATGGAATTAAGGCTTAAGAGAAGCGAAATAAATGTACGATGTGTACGAAAAGGCGGTAAACAAGTTTTTGTCTTAAATAAAATTACATATTTATTTAAAAATATAAATAAAACAAGTTTGTTAGCATTTTTTTTAGAATAAAAGTTTATTAAAGGATGGTGCTCAGGGAAATATCAAATATGTTTAATCCCGTAACTTAAATAATTATTTTAATATTATGCGGACTGGAGGTCCTACCGACCTTTCCACTGGTAAATACAGATTCAATACCAGGCAGCCTCATTTCCGTACGCCACTTTTCACCCCTTCAAAATCAGCGCCCCTGGCATTTGTTACACGTTTATTTGCATGAGAAAGAAATCACGTCGCACACGTGGCTGACACACAAATCTTTGAGCTACCGCTACCTTTATACACACAAAAACATCTTGGCACTGGCACACATATTCATACATTTTTTTTATTTTCGTAAATTGTGCGCAAAAGCGTAAAATCATCTTTATGGCGGAGCCGTCTGCCTTGGGTTCGGGCCTTCTTGTCTGCTGGCCATCTTCACAAGAGGGCTCCCGTTGCTGAAATGGCGTATCCTTTGAAGGAGTATCATCTCCCTGCTTGGGTGAGTCCAAAAAATTATGGTAGGCGTTTTCTTTCAACTAACTGACTACAGTAGTATACGATTTAATATTTAGCACATTTCATATATGATTGTTAAAATTATTATTTATTGCTTATAGTTATTAAAACCATTTATAAACAGTCTAATGTTATTTTAAATACCAATTTATTAAAAAATATTCATTAAAAATTAAAAGTCTTAAGCTACCATTATTTTTGATATAAAAATTGAATTATTATCTTTAAAATATAAAATTCAAATGTTTTGAGCCATGCGAGTGGACAATATTTTTGAAAAGTTTCTTAAATAATTAGACATTGCTAATAAGCTAGGACTATCTTTTAGTTAACCCGTCACTTGTAGAGTGAAATGTGTATTGTATTCGTTAATGAGTATGTCACTGGTAGAAGGTAGCGTTTCCGACCCTATCAAATATATATATTCGATCTAGCCATGTCCGTCTGTCTGTCTGTCCGTCTGTACGAAAGCCAAGCTCTTGGACACTATAAAAGCTTGATTTGGGATTTGAATTGCAGTGCAAGTTTATTTCAAAACGGAGCCACGTCCACTCTAAAGCCCACAAATGGCAAACGAATGTCACGTCTCTCTCAGACATGTTAGATCTTAGCGATTGGACTCTGTGTGTGTGTGTTTTGGTCATATCTCACGGTAGACACAAAGATTTAAAAAATCGAGCTATTATTTTAGAAGTTATTGCGCCGACGCTCTGCAATTTTGTTCGACAAATGGCGCCACCTAAATTCCGATTTTTCGTGGGGGACCATTTTGTTTGAAATTTGATAGCTGAGTAAAGGGATTTTTTTAGTCGGGGAACCATAGCTTCCTTCTTGTTTCTCCTAATATTGTATGTAATTTTGTTTTTGGACGCAGAGAATACCTTTTTAAGATCCCTAACACCGGAAACCCCTCAGGGCGTCCCTGTCTTTTCCTGCTCTATGACTAATTGATCGAGGATGACGGAAGGTGGCTGCCACACCACATCCTCTTAAAGTTGCCGCCTGCAAGCTGAGTCATCAGTCATGCATAATGCAGAAAAGCGGAGAGCCCAGATGCAGCTGCTGCAATACCTGCATATCGCAAAGAGAAAGTGCCGGCGACAGCGGGGAAAAGGGAAAGTACAGAAAGCATGTCAAGTTGCGGCACATTTAAAATTTATGCCAGAGATTCGCACTCTCTCTGTCGCTGGTGAATGGGAAAGGGCTGGCTACTGCCACACGCACATGGCTCATAAATTTTTATTGTGTGGCAAAGATGGCCCACTGCCGCCGCCCATTCCTCACTGGGCTAGCCAAAATAAACATGAATCCGCAGCACACTTTTGGGCGCACAAAATGAGAGCGGAGGACGACGAGCAGGATGTCTAGAGTGGGGAATACACAAAGTAATGAAGCAAAGTGCCTTCGCACGCCATTCAGCGCAAAATCAACTGGTCGAGGACCGGAGTGCAGTTGCTGGAGTTGGGCCCCTGCTGGCGGGGCCCGGCGGCAAATAAATTCATTTCACTGTCTGGAAAACGTCGGGCGGCGCATCGGGACTGACGTATGGACGTGGACGTGGACGTGGACATGGACGTGGACGTGGACGGATGCCTTGGCCTAGACATGGTGCAGGAAGTGTTATTTAAATGCAGGATATTGTATGAAGAAATTTATTATCGTGCCGCCGTCCTGACATTAAGAAAAAAAATATTGAGATATAAATACGGGCAGCGAGCTGCCAGACAACGATGCTCAAAAGTAATTAAAAGCCAAACAATTCCGGGCCATATATTTTATAATGGTCCGAGACATTGCTGCACAAATTCCTTTAATTCATTCGATGTCCCAGAAAGCGACTTTAATTTCCACCAAAGTACACAGTTTAAATTTTTGATGGGCTTGCGGTGGCATGCATCAAAACTTCTGGTTGTATCGAAATATTTAATCGAATTACAATTCCATTTGATGCCCGACATGGACAACATTTGTTGTTGGCATTTGTTTGTTTTAGCTACATTTATTATATTTTTCATAGACCAAAACTCTAAGCTGACCAAAAAACCAGCGCTTTTATCTGTTTGATTTCATGTATAGAAAATAGAAAAGGGAAATTACTCTGTGTAGAAGCGGAATTTTGCAAATATCAAATAATAGTTTAGCCTCAAATATAAAAAAACTGAGGTCAGTGTGAAAAAGTGTAATACCTAAAAACTTTATTTTCATTCGCATCATATCATTCATTCAATTGAAAAAGCTTATGCTAAAGCTCTATTATCATAGATGTAAAACATTTCAATGTATAATGTCAGAGTATAACCAGTTTCGACTTTATCTAATTTTATTTGCTTACTTGTTTTTTAAGGTCTATTTTGTTCAGCTCTGATGCAGATAAAAAATGCATTGAATGTTTTTTATTTTACGCCCGCGTTCAGAACATGCAATAAGCTGGCATTTAAATATTTGCATTCTCCCTGAATCCTCTTTTATTTGCATTGTTTTTACATAGATAAAAGGGAGCGGTGATAAGGGAAGCGCGGCTGACAATTTGTTTCTCTGTTGAAAAGCTTGCACTTGAATAATTGAACAAAAGCTGCTGGCAATTGAATATTAATGAGCAATTAGTGGAGGACCCTCGACAAACACTAATAACCATAGTACAAACTAAGCCAAATGCAATTCGCTCGGTCCACACTGCGTATGGGCAATATTTATGGGGAACGCACACCCGAAAGAGCCATAAAACATGCCAAAGAGTTAACCAAGGTGCCAACACAGACTCGAGCTATATAAATTATTTGCAGCAGACTGATTGGCAAAAGCAATTGCAGGCGGGCAGGGAAATGGAAATGGAAAATGGGAAACAAAACCGGGCTAGCAATCCGACTGAAGCTGTATGCGTATACATAACAGCTGCAACCGCAAAGGGAGGGGGGGGGAGAAACCGAGAGGAAAAACTAAAGAAGGGCGGAACAAGGAGGCCAATGAAAGGCCGTTCAGGACATGGGAACAAGGCGCAAACACTCGACTGCAAAGATAGAGAAAAATGGCGCATGAAATGAAGCGGAAATGGTGCAAAAAGGAACCCAACAACAAGGCCGAGAGGGGCGGAGCGGAACCGGAAGTGGGACTTGGAATGCCGAGAAAGTGGCATGGCAGCGAGGAAAGGGCGGTCGGCAGCCACTTACAGAGCTGAACTAATATGTACATTAGTATCTTTTGAATGCATGCGAACAACTGATAAATGTCTGGTCATGTTTGAATCTACTCACACACACTTCTACACTTGCACATCTGGTCGGTGGGGGTGTGTGAGTTTGCGGTGAATGAAATCGAGCGTCGCATGAAAAATGTATGCCATTTATTTTACTTTATTTTAGTTTGCCCCACCGCCATCCACTTTTCCTGGGCCCCTTTTTCACGTACAGCAAACAGCTGGCATTGGCAAAGGGCAAACAATGAGGCATTGCTTTGGTTTGCATTCGGAAAACTGCACTTTGATGGAGCACACACACACCCACCCACACCATCGCCTCACACACACAATGGCGTGTACCACAGGAGGGTGGATTGATAAGTTCTGCTAGATTGTCTGAATTTTAATGTTGGTTACCAAATCTACCTTATATACATAAAGTAAAAAAAAGTGTAAATTCAATATTCGAATCTTTAAATGTCTGGTCAGATTATAAATCTGATTAAGACGTTTATTATGAATGTCACAAAGGTTTATTTTGCAAATTTACTAAGACTTATATTGCCGATTATGGTTATTTTTTAGTGGAAAAGTTACTAAAGTTATAGATTTAAATGTTAATTAAATACCTTTTAGTATTAAAGCAAACCGAATATTAAACACGATAAGAATGTCTTAATAATACCAGCTACCAAATAATATTGTGATAATCAAATAAATGCCTACTTACCTTTTAAATGTTACAACCACACAAAAACGGCATAATAAAAAAAAACTTCAAATTATAATCCTACTTAAATTAAACTAAAACCATGGTAATGTAATTATTAACATATTTAAGTGGTTTATCCAATATGAAAAATATAGATTTCAATAACTTTTCATTTTAAACCTTAATTTTTGCATAAAAAAAAAAAAAATGAAAGTGTAACCCAGTACCGAAAATATATATCATATTTCAAAGTGAACAATTTCAAATTCGCCATGTTTTTTCTCTGGGTTTATGACAAAAATGTCTGTAATAAATTTACAAAGACAAATGTTTGGAGGGACACTACAGAAATGATTGGCTTAAATATTATTTAAATGTATTTTAATTTACCACATAACCCACAGAAAGTTTTTACTTTGAACTAAAGGGCCCACCCTCTCGTTTTAGTTATTTGCTTGATTTATGACTTGGCAGGGTAAACAAGCAAGGCAAAAAGTGCGAGTGCCTGGAAACTGCTTCCCAGCAAAAGGCGGCATCCACAACTATTGCATAGATAGGCAATTTTCGTAATTGCTGCGATGCGGATGTGAATGCGAATGCGAATTCGAATCCGAATGTGATGAAGAGGGGAACATGGTCAGGAGCAGAGTGCGGTGAACCAAAGTTGATTTATAGTCCTGTGCGTCCGGCGCCGCTGCTTCAAAGGACACACTGCATAAATATGCGATAAGCCCGACTATAAAAAGCGACTGACATTCCCGCACAGAAGCACACACACACACACACACAGATAGAAAACAGTTGGCATACACTTGCATAATGTATGCAGGCGACTGCCGGACAAGTTGCGAACCGCAACAAGTGCACTCACCATGGCCAGAAGGATCAGACAGGTGCGGCTGGGTGTGCATTTAAGCGACATGTGTCGTCTTCACACTCAACTGCACTTCAAACGAGCCCTGCTCACGTAGCCAGCACCTAAACTCTCCATCTCAGTTGGCTTTCACTACAGTAAGGCCTCCCTAACCGTTGTTCGGCATAAGTCAACTTTCGGGTACCACCAGACAATATAAAGAATTACATGAATTCTGGTTGGTGAGGAACAATGATAAAGCTATTTCAATTTTGTATTTTTGAAAATATAAGTTTTATTTACTTTATGTACCGTAGCATATTTTATTACATATTAAAAATATTGATAAAGATTAATATAGAGAGTGATGTCCCTGAAATCTTTTAAGATTACAGATTAGTCGGTATCCCATAATATTGCTCATAGCTTTTTTTTAAATTTAGATTAGGTGTTTTGAATTAAGTTACACTAAAATTGAAATGATGGTGATGAACATCTTAGATATGGCTTTATCAACTTAAATTATCCAATTTCAATTATTGGAAAATTAAATTATAAAAGTAAAAGTTTGTTATAATTTTTCAAAAGTTCGAACTAGCAAAGTCCGACTTAAAAAAGTTCGCCTGTAGTTACCTTGAACACTAGTGGGCTGGCATAAACTTCCGCATTAAGTCGACTTTGAACTTGAAAACGTTAGTTACACGGCTAAAAGCGCATGCTGGCATTTGAAGGTTATTACGGGCGAAACTTTATGTACGCACCTACAACGAAGGGCTTTTCCCCACCCAGAAAAAACCATGGCTGTTGCGTAATAGGGCCTCTTTACTCGCCTCCTCCTCAGCGAAACTAAAAGGGAGTCCCTTTTGTAGTTCGCCTTCTGCTTCTGCAGATTTTCACCCAAAGGCTAACACGTTTTCTCTTAAGCTGAAACGAAATCATATTTGACTAAAAAAAGGCTAGTGCAAGTTGCTACTAATGAGAAATGATAGGTGGAAAATGTGAAGTTTCAAAGGAAAAGAACAAAATGGAAATACAATCAAAGAGCAGGAGCTTATCAATGTCAGAAATCCTTGAGTTTAAGTTTTGCAAACTTATTAACTTGTTGCTCCAAAAGACATAATTCCTTCTTTAGTTTCCGTCCATAATAATTCAAGTTCTGTTAACAGATTTGCACTTTATCTATGTGTCGCTTATATCATTCCACTTTCAGGACAGAACAAATCATATCAGTAAGTTGGACATCCCTCCCTCTGACGTACAGTGCGATACTGGGACCTAGAATATAAGCTTCATGGGCATTAAACATGCAACATTCTCGCTGTGGGTTTTATGTCGCCACAACGTATTCCACACATGCAGGCCACCTACACACAGTTGTGGTAAAATATTTATCAATAAACGAGTATTTTTGGATTATGGAATAATAATTATAACAATTCACAAAATGAATGAAAAAAGTAAATGAACAAATTGAACAGTCTTTAATTATTAAACTTGTTATTGAATATATTTATATTTATACTCAAAACACAGCATTTAAATTGTTTTATATGAACGAAACTATTTAACAATGACTATGTACCTTTGCTAGGCATTTAATCTAAATCTGTAATTATTGACGTATAAAATGTCAATGGCCTTGATAAACATTTTTTACAAAAATGAAAATTAAAAGACTTTTACTAATTTCTTGTTTTAAAAATTATGAAATTTCTCAAACCAAAAAACTATAAATAATTTTAAAACGCCAAAGGGAGGAAAACATTTTCATTTGCTTGAAAAGATTTAATCAGGCATTTTAAGCTTTCAACCATAAATTTGCTTAGCCAAAAAAAACAAAAATTTAATGCAATTCAATTTATTAGAAATACTGATACTAACTACCATGTTGACCGCAATTGTAGCCACTCACTTGTAACTAAATGCGATGACATTCTACCAGGCGGCATCGCTCATGGGATTTTCGGTCTTTTCCCTTATTTTTATGCGTTTTAAATTTATTTTGCTGCCGCTGTCGCAACATTGGGACAATGGGGGAGGGGCAAAGTGGCGGAGGCGGAAGGCGAAAGACGAAAGGAGCCATTGGCAATGGCGCCTGTCGCACGCACGCAAAACTTCCGCCATTCACAGACGCACACATGAACTTGTGTGCGTGTGCGAAAGTGCGTTCATGTGAGCGTGTGTGTGGCAGGCCTGAGGCAAAAAAGAGAAGTAAAGGAAAATAAAGAAAACAACGCGTGGCTTGCCAGTCTTCATATTTGTTTATCGTGCCAAGTGATTCCGTGTAATTGCAGAAATTGCGTTAAATTATTTAACAAGCGGGCGCAGCGGCAGCATTTCAAATTCATTTACACTTTACGCACAATGCGAAGTGGAAATTGAATACAATAAATTTCGCTGGCAAAAATACCGCAGACCCACAGGATATTGTTTTCCACCAAACACGAGGGGCAACAAATAAAAAGCAGCCGCAGAAATGAAATTCGCCCTTTATTAGTATTAGTTGGCCTATGTACGAAAATTTATTGTCTAATTGAATTTTTATTGCAGAATGCAGACACCAGAAGGCAATCGGATGCGAAATTTACTTCAAGGATATGAAAATAGCACATCAAATGGGTCATAATACACGACAGCAAACGGAAGAGCTTAAATAAACCAAAAAGAGTACAAAACAGCAGTAACAACAAAGCCAAGTCGGCAACAATCAACAGCACAAAAGCAACAGCACAACACTGCCACAGAGAAATCTAAAAAAAAAAAGCACAAATAAGAGGAAGTCGGAAAGAAAAGTGAAAGCCAAAAGTGAAAGCCGAAAGCCGAAAGCCGAAATTGTAAACGCTCCATGTAAACACTTGAAAGCTCGTTAGGATAATACATCCTGCCCGGCACCAAGCACACGCTGGCACAAAAAAACGCAGGGGAGAAAGTAGGGAAAGTGTCACCATGCGCCGTCCCGCGTGTCTGAGTGGCCGCCAGCTGAAACAACGGGCCCACCTCAAATACCCACCCACCCACTCATACACACACATGCGCCAGCAGGCCATTGCCATTGCCATCGCCATTGCCATCGCCATCGCCGTTGCATAGTCGCACTTCCGTTTCCGTCTACTCCTCATTTCCGCTGCGGCTGCAATTAAGCGGAGCGAAGCATCCCGAAAAACACACCGTATATCCACAAAATGGCGCACGAGACCACTTTTAATGGTGGGTACACATAGCACATGGGTCATTTAGTCCACATTTTATAGTGGTTTAGTGTGTGCCTTCTTTATTTATGTGTATTTAAAAATTACATTTAAATTAGCAATGTTTTTGTTTTCAAAGGTAAAAAGGTCAAACAATTAAATGATTACGCCAGATTCTCGACTTTTGTATGCGTTTTTTATCGAATACCGTATTCATGAAAATTTTGTTGAATCTTTTTTGTGATTGCCATAGCATATGGTGCTTTCTAAAACTGCTATAGCGACTTGGTTTATAAAGGAAAAGAAAATTAGGTGCCAATATTATTGTCAAAGTCTCATAAATTTAAAACGAATTTTCTTTGTACTGAATGTGTAGTTATTTAGACTAACATGTTATTTGTTTTGCTAGTCACGTTCTAAATAAGTATCTGACTTTGCTTATTTTGTTTGTTTTTTTTTTTTGTCACTGTGAAATCGTTGTCTTCAATTATGTACATCTGTATTTCTACTCTAACTCAGATGCGCTCGACTACATTTACATAGCGAATAGCGTGAATGACAGGGCCTTTCTGATAGCCGAGCCACATCCCGAACAGCAGAGCATCGATGGTCAGGAGCAGGTGCAGGACGAGGAGGAGTTTGAGGACATGGCGGTCACGGAGGATGCTGGGCTGGAGGATACGAATAACAACAACAGCAAGCGCTACTACAGCTCCGGGAAGAGACGCGCTGACCTTGTGAGCTCGCTGGCGCTGAAACCGCCGCCCACCGATGCGAGCACCACCACCGGCTCACCCTTGGCCACCGCCGCCTTGGCCGCAGCAGCCGCCAGTGCCTCGGTAGCGGCAGCAGCTGCCAGGATCACGGCCAAGGCGGCGCACAGGGCGCTGACGACCAAGCACGACCCAGGATCCTCGCCGGCGCCCTCGCCAGCCCTCCAACTGATCGACATGGACAATAACTACACCAATGTGGCCGTCGGCCTGGGCGCCATGCTGCTGAACGACACACTCCTCCTCGACGGCAACGACTCGAGCTTGTTCGGGGAGATGATGTCCAACCGGAGTGGCCAGCTGGATCTGACCAACGCGAGTGCGGGCCTCAATATGACCACGAGCAAAGTGGCTGAGGACGACTTCACTCAGCTGCTGCGAATGGCCGTCACTTCGGTGCTGCTTGGACTGATGATTCTGGTCACCATAATTGGTGAGTACACACTGAAAGCGAGAGTTGCACTCAAAAAATTAATGCCATACTTAAAAATTTTAAAATAACGGGCTCGTTATTACCTCGAAGAGAAAAAGCAACACAAATTTTACATATTTCTTATTAAAGTTATTAAACTCCTTGTTATAACAATTGCTAAGGAGTTCCCTGACCGAACTTAAAAACAAAATCTTTAAGAAACATTTTAAATCTTAGAAATACTATAGCATATAAATTGCAATATTTTTCGTACTTACTCCAATTTAAAAACAAAATCTTAAAACAAAATTTGCACTTTTAAAAATATACAAAAGCAAAAATTTGCAATATATTTCGTATTTGTTTGAAATTAAAAACCAAACCTTGAAACAACTATTAACACTTAAATTTATGTTAACTTATCGTTTAGCAAAACTTAGTTAATAACTGGTTCAACAATAAGTAAACAAATTTTTAAACATCTTTACAATTCTTTGAGTGTAAGTCGAAGCCCAAACATAGACATAATTATTTCAGCCCCTATCCCAGCCAAGCCCCCCGAAACAAATTCCTCGAATGCCAGTCTCAGGCACGCGCCTGCCGCCTGCCTGCAAATCCGTGGGGAATATGGCAAACAATTCAATAAGAAGGACGCAAAGGGACTCGAGGGGCCTCGGCTTCAGTTGTAGATAATAAAATACGCGTAACTGATATTTATGATACTGGCAGGGCATTTTATATTATTTATTATTGTTGTTATTATGGCTCAGATGCTGAAGCAGCAGCATCGGCTCAGTCTCAGTTATTAATAAGGCAGCTCAATGACGAGGAACGAAAAGCGGAATGGGAAGGGAGCGTTCGCATTGGGAACGAGAACAAGAACAAGAACCAGAACCAGAACAGAAACAGTAACGCTTTTGTTGTTAGCTACATTCATTACACGCATTTAGCCATAAATCCGATGGCAAACAAACCGGCATCCATCTAGGCAAGGACATGCCGCATTAAAATTGACAGTCAATCAATCAATCACAGTACCCCGCCCACATCAATCCAATTGCTGCGCAAAACTTAATGTTCACGTTGTAAAATCCGAAACAAAATGTATAAAAATCAGGCAGTAACAAATGAAAATGAGGCGAGGAAGCAAAATAAGCAGAGCAGCCAGCTGAAATTGATTTCATTAATTTAAGTAGATTTCATTTCATTTCATTACATTTCATTTAAAACGGGCAGCACAAAAGTCAAGAGGCAAATAAAAATAACGAGCGCTAAAAAGTATGCTACGATTCTTAGCGTCACTCCCAAAAGATCCGAGCTGAATTGAGCCCTGAGCTCTGAGCCCGAAGCCATTCACATGTCCCGCTTCCTCTCACTTGTTTTCATTTTGATTTCCTACTAATTTGTGTTTATTTAGTTTTTCCTCTTCCGACGTCCTTTCCTTCCGTACCATTCCGCCCTTTAGTTTTCTTTTCTGGCCTCGCTTTTGAACTTCTGCAGTTTTTGTCGCCGACCAAGTGGGACGGCAGCACCATTTAGCATTTAAAAAGAAAATGCTAATGAGTTTCAATGCTAATTTTGGCTAGATTGCTTCACGCTTTTGGTCACTCTGCAGCACACAAAAAAAAGTACCCGGAACAAGCTGTCGAGCGAGGGGATGCCTTAAAATGTACGACTTTAATTGTTATAATTTTTGACCTACTTATTATTCGTATCTAAAATGATATGGCTGAGACTTTAAGAATAGAATCTAAAAACTGATGTGAAGCTTTTAAAATTAAAACTTCTTTGTATATTAAAGTAAATAGTAAAAAGTTTAGAAGTATACATAAGTTCGCTTATTATTTCTTACTTAATTAAGATACAGTTGCTTAAAATGTTTAAATGTTATTGTTTTAGTAGATAAGTTTGCTAAATTAATTCGATGTAAATATGCCCTTAACAGATGACGCCACTTACAATTCTGTTAGCGCGGTAGCCTTAAAAACGTTTTAACCATGATAACCTTAATCTCTTGATACCTTCTGAAATAATTAATCGATTTTGAAAATTTTATAAGACGTCGGAAAAATATTGTTTTTCATTATTTTATTTTAGCAAATAATGAAATATAATTTTCTTAGCGTGTACTTGTTTTAGTAATGGTTATGGTAAGGTTTTCAAGATTTATTATTTATGTTCTTTTAACATTTGCTAGTAAGACTTTACAAGCACACACCTTTGAGGATTGCAATGGCTTGAGCGACACCCGTGGAGAAGACACTGCATGGAACTCAAAAACGCAAACAGCTGGCAGGCATGAGGCTTGTCTAGTTGCCTTCACTTTGACACTCAAGTATCTAATTGCATGTGCCTGGTGTTTGTGTGTGTGACTGCGTGCCTGTGTGTCCCCGGGCAGAGGTTGTATGTGTGTGTGTGTGTGTGTGCGAGCCCTCCTGCCGTCGACTGTCGGCGGATTCAATGCCACAAATTGCATGTCTCGCACCTGTAGTGGCTGGCTTTCTTTTTGCAGCCTCAAGTGCGCCACAAGTAGTCGGTGACAGTGGCGGAAAAGTGGGACGGAGGTGGTGAAAAAGTCGGGGAAAGTCAAGAAAAATAAGCGCACCGGCAGACATCAAAGGTGGTGTCCTCTCCCGAGTCCCTTGGGCAGCCCCTCACGTCAATTTCACACCCTTCGCCCTGAGCTGGGGCTTTTGGCAAAGTTTACGACGGCGCGATTAGCTCATGTCGTTTATTTTGGCTTTTGTGAACTTTGTCTTTGTCTGCTCAAGTCAGCTCAAGTGCAACTGAAATTGCAACAGTGCAATGGTGGGAGACAAGCTTAATAAGATTCCCATTTCGTTGGTGTCCTGGCTCTCGGGCTTTCAAAGAAGTTTGCCATGCCAATCCCCGAAAACTTTATCTGTTCCGTTGTGGTTCTTGGTTTCGTTTCAGTCATCAGCTGCAGCTCGAATTGAATCGAAAACTTTTTGTCGCAAGTCAATTTTCGCAATTAGGCTGCTAAAAGCCCTGCACATAAAAACTCAACCCAAAAACCACACCCGATTTGTGCTCTTCATTTGATTGAGTTTTCGCTTCGATCCTTGCAGGCAATGTCTTTGTCATCGCGGCCATTATCCTGGAGCGGAATCTACAGAACGTGGCCAACTATCTGGTAGCTTCTTTGGCCGTGGCCGATCTCTTCGTGGCTTGTCTAGTGATGCCCCTTGGAGCAGTATACGAGGTAAGTAAAAGGTGTCAAAAAAGCGTCAGCGGTGCTGGATTTTTTTGTTATTATTTCCTTAAACACACATTACACAAAAAATCATTATTAGACTAAAGGTGGTGTGCCACAGAAATCATCTCGTAAAGTTTTCCAATAGTATGCAATAACAAAGCTTACATCATCTTACGAAGTAAATTCAATGGACTTTTATATCTTAAATATTTTGCGGGTTTTTTTTCTCCACACACTCTTATAAATCGTTTTCAAAACCTGGTGATTTATGTGGCTCCCCCATTAACAATTAGTTTTAAAATTCGTTGAGATTTTTAATTTTTTTTTTTTTGGTGTATGATTAAAGTTTCGAACTTCCGATAAATATTTGGTATAAAAAATCCCTTTTGTAGAGATGATGCCTTGTATTTTAAAACACTAATGTCGATATTTGTTGATCAGTAGTTCGGTAGCAAAAACCAATGTGCTGACAAACATTCCTCCTATGTAAAGCCATATGAAGACCAAAAAATAATCTACCGAAAGTGGTCTAAAATGATTTTGCACATCCGAGGGCAGCTTAAATAAGTTGTTGATTTCACGGTACTTTTTGAAACCCATCTGATCCCATTTCTGAAGGAGACCAGACTCAAAAACGGTACGGAAATAAGATAAGTACAAGAACCTAAGCGGTGACTTTGGAGAGATAGGTATTCGTATGGCACGGACCCTGGAGCAGAGTTCTTGCCCAGCGATCTGAAAGGGTTCTGTCTTTATATGCTGCTGGTATAGCCGTAATGCTTTCCAGTTGTGCGTTTTTACCACATAGGCGTAGTTGTGGTTTAAGCCGGTCATGTAGCGAAACTTTGTCCCCATATCCACAATAGTTACAAGATCTGCCAACGAACTGGGCAAAACATTGTCCTTAAAAACCTGCAGGATTGTTGGATCGGCCGTCAGAATCTTCAGACCACTAGCTCGCATCGTTTCAACGTTCGTGATCTGAGGCTCCCACATACCCGTTGTAAAAGCGGTGGACATCACTGATACAGTTGCACCCACCAAGAGTCCGAGGAAAAAAAATGAGAATACTTCCACTAACTTATCGGCCAAGGGCAATCGATCCAACTGACCACCGGGCAACGGAATAGCTAGATGAAAACGAAAGCTGCTGAAGATCGGGTCCAAAAGCGATCGTCTGCGGTGGGCGAAATACTTGATAAGGAACACACCCAGAATCGAAAGAGAAATGATTGGGTATGTAAGGCTATTAACATTCTTGTCGATATATCTGTACGGGGCCAACAGCCGATGATTCGGAACAACCACGCAAATCTGGGAGTCCGCCACCATGGGGCTAAACGACTTAAGGCTGTCGTTGTCCACCATATTGGCCACCAGATCGACGCTTTGATTACCGGGCAGCTGAACGACCTCGTATTGAGAGGTTTGCTGCCCCGAAACCGGAAGAATGTAAAAAGTGGCATTTAGGTAGCGTATGAACTCCACGATCATCAAGCCAATGCAGCCGGACAAACTTATATTTCCACCGCCAGTCAAAGCCGCTTGATCCGATGAATTGTACTGCAAGGATTTTTAATTAGTTTCGAGTGACAATAATTTAATAATATCAATAGCTTACCCAAAACACAGATGGTGGATCATTCACTACTTGAACGGAAAACTTGTAGCTATTCCTTCGCATGACCGACAAGAACTGTTCACCCACATCAAGACTAACTATGTTAATGTTTCTCAAAAAGAAATACGACCACTGTTCGATATTGGATCCGTTGCGAACAATGAGCACTGTTGTAATTATCGTCAGCTCCCAGCACCAAGCGAATAACGCGCGAATAGAGTCCATTCCAAAGCGTTTTTTCTCATTCCGCGGTGAAGAGTAGAGAAAGACGAAGAACACCTCGGTATTTTGAAGCGCCATGTCCTTGACGGCGGCCAGTGAGGGATCATCCAGGCCAGTGAAAATAACAATGACCACATAATTATCACTCGGATAGCGTTGATTAAACACTCCAAGTTCAGAGCGAACACTATAAAGTGGTAGAGAAATGCTGTCCATGGCACGTTGCTCAAGGGAAGGATTTAGATCGACGTTTCCCGTAAATGTAATAGCTCGGTCGAGTCCATAGGTTGTCTGCACTTTTTGAAGTATTTCAAACAAGACACTGATTTCCCTGTCCAGATTGGCCTCCATTTCTCCGACTGGTATCTGCATATGGCTGCTGGCCAGGAGGCCAAAAAGGATAAAGTTCCGCATGTAGAAACGACTCCCCATGGCTGCGTTTTTCTAACTTTGAACCCATCGCTCGACAGTTGACCCTTTATAAAGCCTGGCTGGCAGCCCTTGTTTGCTTTGTTATTAGAGGCCATTACATTTTACACTCCACACTTTGGCAGCATCAAATTTAATAAGCCATCAACTTTTATTGTCTATTTGACTAACCAGCTTTATGGCCACCCTCCTCCTCTTTTTCTGCACACAGATTAGCCAGGGCTGGATACTCGGACCGGAATTGTGCGATATCTGGACGTCGTGCGATGTGCTCTGCTGCACAGCCTCGATTTTGCATTTGGTGGCCATTGCCGTGGATCGGTAAGTAATTACTTAGAGTCCCTTCCTCATTCCGAGCTTGTGATAAATTGCCCCAGAAGTCAGCTTGTAAGTGGCGTGTAAGACAAGCCGTAAGCTGAGGGGGCCCCTCCCCAAATATAGATGTATCCATACTTGCAGGGATATGTGTGAAAATGTGGTGGCAGCGTGTGTTTGAGTTAAGCGAATCAATCAATCAAGTTTTTAACATGTCAAATCTCTTTCCAAATCCAGTAATGCACGAGAGAAAATAAACCTAAAACAGGCAGATAGCTTGTAGGAAATGTGTACATATGATTTTCATACGCAAAACGACTGATGAATGCCCTGTGATCAGATCACAAAGTTATTTGCTGTTTAAGGATGAACTGAATTTGAATTAAAGACACTTGAGTCTTCTCTGCAGTTTGTTTCGCTTTGTTCCCGCACTCAACTGTCATCTGATGGCTATATCAATTTATAAAAATAAATATATTCCCTGCCACGGAATTTGGTATTTGGCAACCATACATACACGGGAACATGGCTGGCTGCATGCCATCAATCAATTTGCAGCAAACATTTCAATCAATCGATTAAAAAACAGAACGCAAAACGGCAAACAACAAAGGGCGCCCATGGGGGGCGTGGCAAGGGCGGGAGCAGTGAAAAACGAATTGCATTATTCACTTGGAAAAAGCTGGAGGGTCGCACTGCGAACTCGTTGTCGATCCGAATGTCAATTTTATTGTCAAGCATCCAATGCCAGCTAATTTTCGTGCACTTGCCACCAATGACAATGGCAGTGGTAAAATGTTTTCCAGAGCAACGGAAAATGGGGGAAAAAGCTGGCGTGGAAATATAGTTGTCCTGGCTGGCAGTTTTATGGCCACTTAGCTGCAAGATTGGTGCAATTTTCCAATCGGCCCACACGGCGTATACGTAATGCAGTTTGAATGGCTGCGACCCGTGACACTTTTGCCTGTTTTGTGTTTAATGAACACTCAAATGCGACGGCCAGGACCCAGCTATGCCACGCCCTTTCCCCCATGGGCATTGTAATTTCCGAAAATGTTTGCTGCACTTGACCGGGCAATTTCATTTTATTAGGAATTGGGCTCCGAGCTTCCAGCTGCCGTTAAACAATGCCCGCATGGGCCAAAATTATATGGTCGCATTAATTGGCTAAGCTGCAGGTCGGTGCGGGCCAATTATTTGGCGGTTTCAATTAGAGCCACCGACCGGCCAGCCGAGCCATAAATAATGCAAATCGTTTTCTTTTCAGCTGCAACGTGGCGTATACACAGCAAGCGGGGGGCAGCTCATTTAAAAAGCACCGGCCACAGGAAAAAAAAATGTGTTTACAATATTTTGTTATATTTTTTTTTTTATAATACTATCTCTATAATTTAAATAAATGAAATTTGTAGAATTTTATACAACTATTATACGTTCTATAATAAAATTGTATGTTCACATAAAGGGATACAACAAAAAACGTTGTATATTTTCGTATTTACAGCTCAAAAAAATTGTTAATTTACCAATTTATATAAATGAATATATTGAATGCTTCCATAATACTAATTTTCAATAAAATTGTTCTGTGTACTAATGAAATGAGTATAATTGCTATTTGTTTTTGTGACTAATTAATGCATTCAAATTCTGAAATATGTTTGGCATTCAAATTTAATTGAACTCTCATAAAATGTGCATTGGAAAACTACCCTTTTGGGCGGTGCTTGGTTTGGGGTCAGGTATGAAAGAAATACCGCCGAAAATTCCTGTTGATGCCCTGTGAGGTGGCTGTCAATTGGCAAATTGAAGCGCTGGCTCCGCAAATTGCCTGTCAATAAACAAAGCCAAGTGATGCTTAGATTTCGAATGCATATCAATCAGCCGAAGCCCCGGCCTTAACATTTCGACACAACAGACCCGCCCTATCTTTGGCACCTCGCAAACGCCACTCGCCTGTCAGCTGGACATCGAAATGAAAGCCCAAGTCCTACTCCACATTATGCTCGTATTCTTTGGCTGTGGAGTGGGCAATGGACCACTTTCAATTCTGCTGGCAAGTATGCAAATGACGAGGCATGACAGCAGCGATGATGATTTGCCCGAGTGCCACATCATCGTCAAGATAAAGGCTCCCGGCTCAGGTCCAGACATTCGGCTGTAGTTGAGTCGCATCCGGAGTTGGAGTTGGGGAAACAATTACCCGGAGAGGACTTAGGGGCACATTTTATTTGTTAGTTGTCACTAGATATTTAAAATGGAAAGTCTTTGTTTTATCACCAAGTGAAATGAAAATTAATGTGCTTTTAAGCAAGCAGCAGGCCTTTCCAGCAGGACAAAACGAGATGCGAGCAGTGCATTAATAAATTAAGTTTGTCAAATGGCCCCCGACTCTGGGCGCCCAAACAGGATGATAAATAGTTGCCGACATTCGACTACAATAATATTTGCAAGAATTTGCCGTTAGGGCAACCGAATCGTTGACAATGCGGGGCAGGGCCAGTGGGAAAATGGTTAACATTTTCCGAGTTCATTTTCCATGTCAGTAATTTTTAAGCAATTAAGACAAAGTGCCAACAGTATTTACAGAATCTGGAGATTGGTGGGGTTAGCAAAGGGAGAGAGGCAAATAAAGCAAAGGACACGAAAACGAATACGAGCGAGTGAACTGAGTAGCAATGCCAGAGAATTTCTCTCTTACTATTTGCTAGCACAATAAGGCCTATACACAGAAAAAAATGGATATTTGTGGAAAGGATAAAGGAGGTTAAAGAAGAAATATATATAATTTAAAAATGAGTAACGTTTTAAAAAGTTTATCCTAAGCTTTCAAAGCACACGAAAATGTGCCCATGCTTTCATATAAAATATCAGTGTGACCATGCTACAAATGATTTGGGACCATTTAGTTTATTCATGTTTTTAAAAGCCGTGCCTTATCCATGACAAAATATACTTAGGCACGTAAGCTTTTGACAGTTAAGGTTCATGAAGGATAATCGTAGGAAAATGTAATGTAATTTTCTTTTAGTACATTTTAGTTCCAAATTAAAATGCATTGTTCAATTGAACACAAAAATAATCGAAGATTTTTTTTCTTCGTGTAATAAAAGGAACCGAAAACGGAATGGCCACACCAACAAATGGCGCCCGGACATTAATCTTCATGGCACTGACCCAACGTTTCGGCCGATTCTGTCGAATTCTGTTGGCCGCCGGAATATATGCACATACAGAGCAGGCCCTCACACACACACACTCATACACTCGAAATCGATGTGCATAAATTTCATGGTCTGCATGCTGCTGACGTCATTATTAGTGGCAGCACACGAAACCAACAACGGCAGCGGCCGCACCGAATGATAAATGCCTCGCGGCTTTGCGTTCCACGATGGTCGAACCATTTACATGCCAAGTTTTCGCCAGGCCCAAAACCCCTCCATCTTTTACCACACTTGCACCCAGATCATGGGTCTATCCTGATTGCTGACTGCTAACCACATTGACCAACAGTTTGTCGGCCATGTTACTGCCGTCCTCACATTGCTCGTTCTGTTGTTGCTGCTGCTGCTGCTACTCACACATTTATGACATATTCAATTAAATTTCAATTAAGTTTACACAGTTTTTCGTAAATATTTTACAATTTAGCACTTAAAATGTAATTGCATGTTCATTTTCGTTGCCATCGTCGATGCTCTGGACTCCGAGTTGCTCTTCTCGTAGTTATCGCTAATGTTGCTGTTGTTGCTGCCACTCCAACCGCAACTACAACACAACAATATGGACAACAACTGCGACCACTACGTCCCATGTGCTGTGTGCCATGTGTAATTGTAATTGCTGTTGTCACACGATTATTTTTTTGTTCAGCTTGCTCCAAAGCCAAGTACTGAATGAAAAAAATACGACAACGGAAACGCTATCACAATTTACAAAAAAAAAACCAAATTGCCATTTAAAACATTATTCAACTTTAAAGTTATTTTAATGAAGAGTTTGTAATTAAGAGTTTTAAAAATTTAAATATTTAATTCATTGAGTGAAAATGCGTCATTTAATTCTAGTAATACTCCTAATCTGTTTTAATCATTTTAGGTACCAATATTTAAGTTGCCTTCATTCATGTGGAATTTTTTCTAGCTAATATTTTGATTCACTTAACGCAAATGAGAAAACTTTTCGCCGTCACTGTGCACGGTCGGCTAAGTGCAAATGCACATTGTACTTATTTTACATAATTTTCATACTGTCGCGTTGCGTTTTAGGTAAAGGCTACTGCTCACCGCCGACCCCTTAACCCCTGACCCCTGACCCTTAAGCCCTTTACCCTTGCAACCGCATTACCACAACTTTCATGTGCGGTGCGAAGAGAAGGGGCAACTTTTGTAATTGCACAAATGTTGGAACAATTTTTGGGACTGCGGCGGACAAGCTCAGCTGGCAGTTTAGGGATTGGCCGAATAAAAGCATAACCTTAATTAAATTGGCAGTTAAACAAACGCATTTAACAGTATAATTAGTTTTCCTGGCCCACAGAGAATGATTTTGGGAAAATGACTACGCTTCATTTGCTTTACACATTTTATGTGTATAATGTGTACTGTGTAATGTGTGTGTCTCTTTTCAAATGTTTAATGAGACAAAGAAGCAAACAGACGACGAAGACAGGGGCAATAAGGACACAAACGGCAAAAGCCGAGGCAAACAAACGGAAAAGCAACCGAGCAATAAAACCGGATATGTTACTAAGACATTTACGTTATCTTCTAATGCCTTCAACACTAAAAACAAACCTACACCTCCACCGAGAAAAACGGTATGACAAGATTAAATCTAATATTTCCGGAATTCGACAAACTTGTTTCCTAACAAGTAAAGTAATCCTATTTATATAATAATAATAAATAAGTATTGCGGACAATATTTTATGAATTATTAACAATGCTTTGGGTGTTACACAAAATATATCAATAAAATTTTTGACTTTAAAGTACAAAATT